GACCCCCACCTCACCAAAAAAGTTGCTTCCCTTCTTTTCCCATCTTGCTTACCATCTTTCCAAGTTTCCTTGACTTCCTATCGTTTTTCTCACTTTTCCGAAAAAACTTTCCGGTTTTCCCGAACATTCACCGTAAAGAAACTCTCCAGTCCCCCCAATATTTGGTGGGGGAGGGGAGGAGGGGACGGGCTGCATGCTCTGCCCTGTTCGATACGCCTTTCACAGTCTTCGCAGCAACGTTCCACACCCTCTTTCCATCCCTGAGCCCCCTACTCTTAATTACTTCATTTTAAGCAAAAAAACAGCCACTTATATCGAGTCAGAAATCAAGTAAATCTAATAGTCTTATGAGTAAATCCAGTAACTCTAATTAGTAGTCAAATGAGAAATCATTTAGCGAAGCGACTCAGGAGTATAGCTACAAACGTGAGCAGGAGCTGGATCGTAGGCGCTGAACGCGGCGCTCAAAAGAGTTCGCTGCGTGCAGCTGAACCACAAGAACAGACCTCTGTTTTGCTTCCAGACGGTGATTTGACTTCTTCCGCTATTCGATTGCTACATTTACAAATGTTTAGTGTTTGCCAGCCATTTGTCGACATTCAGTTTCGTAGAGTGCTAGAGACGCTCGTTCATATCGTCTTCATTCACTTTTACTTTTTTTTGTTTTCTTTTCTATCATAACCAAAATACGTCTCTATGTGCCAGAAACATATATGTTTTACTCCCCAACATGTGTGTCTTGCTTTTCCATCCATACTACTTATTGTACTCAGAAAAGTTGGATTGCTCAGCCTATCTGCCTTTGCCCCATTTTATCCGATGATTTTCAAAAGAATAAAGAGCGTATTTTAATGAGTCAGCATCTCTCATTTCAAACCGGTTTTTTTAAGAATTCTTTTCCTGCCACTACACACGCGCAGTATAAGAGAGAACTTGAAGAGGGAAGAGGCCAAGTTCAAGGTGGGAGGAGCACACATGATACGACAACACAACCGTAATATGATGCTGCTCTGGGCGTGGCGAGCCGTGCCGCGCAAGTGGCAGACGAGTTTTCCTGCCCAGCTATTTGAATTTTAATATTAAAGGATGTCAGTCGGCACGGAGTCCTGCCTCCGCTTGAAATCATGTACGCTGCGATAAGCTGATGCACTTCGAGAATTGCGTTGTTTCGCGTTTTGCTTGAAGCGGTGCAAGTTAATTAGGTTCAAGCTAATTAGTAAACAATAAATCACTCATTCCTATATGTCCTGACGGAATTCAAGCACTTCCACATTCTGAAGGAAATGAGTGATAGCTATTATCATAGGCACGCCTGAAATTCAAAAATGGTGATTTGTGCTGCTCAAATACCAATGACAAGATGGTAAATATAATACAAAAGTGAGGAAAAAAAATCACTTGAAACTCGCTCGAAATGCTCCACATACAAGCTCATGCTGAACAGCGCTCGTACGTGCAAGGCGAAGAAAGGGCGTGGTCGGACGAGTTGTCACTCGTTGCTGTCAGTTTCTTCTTATCACTTCACTCTTATCACTCGAAATGGAGAGAGTTAGAAGCGAAACAACCGCACTACTAGGTAGGTAGCATTTATAAATGAATGTTGGGCGTCGCCGCGACCAGTGGGCGGTCCTGTGTTTCCATCGCGGGCGGACGGCGCTCCCCCTCACGTGTTGCGAAAGTTGTACATCTTGCGTGTTTGCAGGCAAGACTGCCATGTCCAAAGAAGGCGCCTGAACATAAAATGAACGCGGGGCGTGCTCTTAACGCTTCACACCCATTCGTTCACCACCGATGAATACTGAAGCTTTGAAAGAAAGTTTCACATGTGTTTCACGACTAATTGGTGCAGTGCTTTCAAACAACTTCAACTGAACTGCACCCAGGGCACGCCATTGCGTTGTGTAAAATTTTTGCGAAATACGACCCTTACGAAGGGGAGAAAGGAACCATGAATAAATCTTTTGTCATTCTATGACTGTACAACATCTGAATATCGCTGCTCTTCCCTTTTCTAAATGTGGCCTGTGCTTACGACCCTCCTTTTCCGCAGTCGATACCCCCCCCCGTTTTGAATTCCACATACCCTGACTGCACCCCATTTCGAAACCGCCGTCTACCCTCTTCATTATGTTTGCAACTACAATGCAATGACCAGTACGGTAATAGTACAAGTATTACTATAACGAGTTCAACCTGGAAACAACCAATTGCTTCCATGCTTCGTGCGCACACATTTTCAGTAAAAAAAATCTTATTCACATACACATTTTTCCCTCCCTTGACATTAAGTAGCACATAAATCGCTTTGGTACAGTAAGAAAACAAGTATAGACAGGGATGTGTAGCACTTGTCCCCACGCACACCAAGCATATATGCCGTAAATCGCGCGCGACAGACATAGCTATTAATCGCCGCGACAATGACGCGCGATTCGATGGCGTCGAGTCGCCCGCGCGGTGACGGGTGGACGAATACTACACACTCGTGTGGGTGGTCGTCAAATATAGTGTGAAGTGGCTCTTGATTAAAATACAAAGCAATCTGTATAAGTTTCGATTAGGTCATCACAGTACAAATTACATATCACTCGAAATGGAGAAGACAATCAATGATAAATGATAAATGAAACAAAATCCCACAGGAGGATGGATCGTCAACAGGGATATCGCTCATAACCATCCACAGTAAATGCAGTGAGACAGCCGTTAACGGAAGAGGCTGGCCGCTTTCATGGCCAGAGACATTTTCGTCGAACTATCGATACTGAAAAGGATTTGGCTCAATACTAATACACAGTAAACCTAAAAGACATAAGCCACGATAAATTGTACGTGGTCTAAAACAGTAGCAGAGGCGCTATATAGTGGGGAAAATGGCAAAAAAGCGAAGTGTAACGGTCAAAAACCTGCAAAAACCCTTTTGTTCTACACGACTCAGAAAGCAATTTCGGACGAGTTTCCCGTTGGCATCGTGCCAATAATCCGCTACGGTAGATGCGGCTGCATGTATGTACTCAATATCCATGCAACACCGCAACCTCTCTATATCTATCCGTTCGCCTCACATTGTACTTCACAAATAAAAGCGATAGGAGCATCAACATCTGTCGGACATTTGTACGCGGGCGGGCGCGGTGGGCGTCCAGATTGGTAGGTTGTATCGTGATGGGGCGCTGTAAGGATATCTTCCTTGGAAAAGGCGCCACGCAGCACCTGTTCAGGGGGGGAGGGAGGGGGACCGAATTCTGCCCTGCTAGGCGTATTGATCCCACACGCCTTGGAGATTTATCGTGCCAACTGCCTTTGATCCTAGGTCAACAGTCATTACAAAAAAGAAACGTTCTAGAATTCTTCGACCGATAGTGGGAACCACCTTCATACCACACCCACTTCATATCATAAAGTGAATAGAAGGGATTTCTTGATATCAGAGGCGCGGCATCTAGCAGAACTTTTTCTGTCTATAAGACTCAACACGTTGCACCACTGGCATGTTAAAGACAATTCTCGCGACCTATTATGTTGCAGGTAGAGGGTCTTAAACTGTGAACCTAAAGCAGATAAATTCTCCGGACTTGCTGGCGATTCGACACCCTGCGGTTTTTATGCAACACTAGCTCACACACTCACTGCTCACTGCTTTCTTCCCACCATCCGCTCAGTACTTGCACTTGCAGCAGCATTAACCGAGGCGACAGTTGGTCAAGAAAGGTAAAAAAATTGGCGGAGTCTTCGTCTTCCCTTGAACCTGCCTTGCCTTCCCCCATTATTATGAATATGGCACTATTATTCACAGAAGAATCCTTCACAAACATTGACTCGCATTCGCCTACTTTAATTTCTTCGTTTAGACCCAATTCAAAACTGCTGCTCTAGCAAGGGCCAAACAATAACTTTCTGGTCGATGGTAACACAAATAGTTAAAATGCACTGAAGTAACCATAAGGTAGGTAGATAACTACAGTAGGTCCTGGATTATTACGATACAATTGGGTCTCAGTAGTACATCCTGAAGAGGAATTTTTCGCGCTATCTGATGGTATAATTGCCGTTTCACCATTGCTTGATGAACCCCTTTTCCCAAGACTTTTTGAAGCATGTCAAAAGAGCAACTTCGGACGATATTTT